CTTTACATATATACGCTTTGTAAGTCTAATGACATTTATTGATCATCATATTAAAACAAATTTGTTTTCAGGAAAGAGAAAAAAAAAGAATAAATAAAGCTGGTGGTTTGGTGACTTTTAACGGCGTGTGGAGAGTTGCTGGCATATTAGCGACTTCTCGTGCTTTGGGAGACTATCCTTTAAAAGATAAGAAGCTCGTAATTGCCGATCCAGACATTTTAACATTTGACTTGAGTGATCACAATCCCATGTTTATAATATTAGCGTCAGATGGCCTATGGGATACATTTTCGAATGAAGAAGCTGTAGCTTTCATCAAAGAACGTATCAACGAACCACATTTTGGTGCGAAAAGTATTACGTTACAAAGTTTTTACAGGTAAGATGTAGATTTAATATTATAAATGTAGGAAATTCGGAAAACAAAACGACTGGGATTTGAATTTGGATCCTTTGTTTACGACTCGCGATACTTAGTCTGCACGTACGTAATACGGTAGTTTCTCACTACGATATTTCCTACTAATCCTACGAATCTTATTATGAATCCTAACTAGCTAACTTTTATATTCTCAATACATATGAAAATATGAGATTCAAAAAAATATCTTGAAGTTTTATAAAATAATAATAAAATTACAGAGAAATATAACTTCGAGAGAAATGCGTTTTATTTTCTAATGAAATCATTTTTAAGAATTTTTATTAGAAATCAACATTAAAATTCAAAAATTGATTTTAAAGTTTTATATTCCGTAAATTTTTACTATTAAATATTAAAAATTAACTTATGTAATAAATGTAATTCATTAATTATCTTATATATCTTTTATTATAGAGGATCTGCGGATAATATCACAGTTGTCATAATTAATTTGAAGGATCGCAAATACAGTATATCAGAAGCCAAGAAGAATCAATTATGATCCCGGTAGCGAAATATTTGCTTTTGCATTATAAAGTTCCGAAGGTCTAGTCATAATATGATGATAACTTGATGCAGTTTAAATTAATTTATCACCAAATTATATGATGTAGAACATGGTTCATTGCGCTTGTATTCTTCATTCTTGTTGCAAGTGACATGCAAATAATTACAATAGAGTATTATTGGAAATAGCTATAATATATGTATAGCTATAAAAGTTATATATATATATATATATATATATATATATAATTATATATAATTATATAATAATAATA